TTTTTTTTAAAAAAAAAGATATTACTGGGGCATCCATTTCCTGTGGACTCTTTGATACTTCAAGCCCTCTTGCATTAGCATTCTGAAAAGAAAAAAAAAAAAGAAAATTTACTTTACTAGGGTAACGTTCACTTTCCAGAAGTGATTGGAATTTGGACAACATTTAACTTAAGCTTCAAGCAGCTTTTTATGAGTTTTTAGCAATCCGGTGCAGTAACTGAGCCATTTCCTATTTAAATGGCTTCTATAGAAAATTAACAACTCAGTTATTAAACTAGCAGGATCCTACGATGATACATCTAGTGAAAGTAGACTTAATTAACTTATTTATTTCTATTTTATGTTTCACTGAGAGAAATTTCCATCTCATTCCAGCTGCTTTATTTATCTTTTGTCATGGGACTTTGCATGGATTTTTTTTTTTTTTTTTTTTTAAACTTTGGAGAGTGGAATTAGACATTATCCATAGAATTTTACAGGGTTATACACTAGCTTTCTTTACTGCATTATATGTAGGAGTGTGGTGCAGTGCTTTTATCTGTAGCGTTTAAATTTTTTTTAATTTTCCATTTTTCAAGAATAGTTTCTGCTTTATTACTATTAATGTTTATACACAGGCTACTTGTTGAAGTAAGTAATTAAAAATATAACCAAGTGCCTAAGTCTTTCAGCTGATGTACTAGATATTAAATTCTCCTAAGTTATGCAGAATCGTTTTTACAATTTTGATAAATTATGCACTAATGTAATGGCAGTTTTTTAAATGCAGATTTAAGCCTGTACATTGTTGAATCTGATGACTTGGCAAAAGAATCAGGTGCTTTCAGCTTTCTTGAGAAAACCCTGTATGTAGCGTTTGCACTGACTAACAAGATGGTATTGCTGGGTTTTTTAATTTGAACTAATTGATTTGGATGCTCATTGCATTATCTTGGTTTAATATTGTTTATTGTTACTTCATGTTCAGGTTTAATTTTGCTCGTTTTCTGACTGTTAGTTTGAGAAGACTATGAACCATGTAATAATAGAACATTGGCTAACCTTTATTCATTCTTAACAACATGAATAATTTCTGCCCTCTTAAAATGTGACTGAAAATTGTTTTGACTTGGCATCTGAAAGTATGCAGTATGTTCAATCAGTCATGCCCAGAATTTGTGGGAAGTATTTTATTGAAGCCTGAATTTCAGTCAACATTTTGCAAACAAAAGTTGGGCATTCCTTTCTGGTGATCTTACCTAGTTTGTCTTTTTGTTTTTCCTTCGTTTCTTTAAGATTAGTTTGACTTTTATTATTATTATTATTATTTTTAAATTAACTTCTGTGAAGTTGTTTACTCTGAAAATTGTACTGGAATATTTTAAGCCAAGCTGATCTTTCACCAGGTGTACTGTATGTAAGGGCTTTTCCTGCTAGCAAGATGCTTAAACAGGATCATGTTATTGGTCGTCTGAGCTATTTAGTTGTTTTACAAAACCACAGCATTGTATCAGATAAGATTTTGATAAAAAGTTTTGTGCACATTTCCAGGGGTGGGAGGGTTGACATTTCCCTGAAATTTCTTGATCAGAATGAGTAAATAAATGGTGTTTGATACCTGTCTTAATGAACATGCTCATAAGGTGACTGATAAGTTGTAAATATACCTGAGAAACAAAGGGGGTAGTTTTGATATTCTGGTGTCAGTATGGAAGATCTTACACATTTATTTAATACTCAAATATATGAAGATGTTTGTTTGTAGTGTAACAGCACAGTAGCCTTGACTTAGTTTCCTTTGGTTAGTGTTGTACCTTTTTGATATGGCCAGTGCTCCCCATCTCTACAAAGACATTTTATTTATTTCACTGTGTAACCTGAAATGAATAGGAACGAGAGTTTTAAACCATGTTACATTAACTTATTTATGACATTATAAATTAGCCTAGGATATTACAAGAACATGATTGTTATATAATTTATATCAGAACCTTTCTATAAATACGTGCTTATTACATTTGAAATGCTTCCAATGTACTTTCTTTGCTGTTTGTAATTCCAAAAAGGATAGGCAAACCAGTATGTCTATTTCATGGATATTTAAATAATGAGATCTTCCATGTTGAAGGTAATGTATTTTTTTTTAAGATTTTAAAATGGCTATTTTGTTACAAAATAGAGACCTATAAACAGTTTGAGAGCTCCTTATGTGCCCTCAGGGAAAGAACCCTCTGTGCAACAGAACTACATAAAAAACATCTTCAGCACGTTCTGAGGGTGAATATATACTACATAAATTGATCTTGTGTATTTAACCTATCTTTTTAATTTTAAAATTGAAAATTTGAAACTTGGTTGTGCTCTGCTGGAGGGGTTGGGATAAACTGCTTAGGTGTTTGCCTACTTGTCCAGTGAAATTACATTTGCATCAGTGTATGTATATACCTGCCAACCTTATTGGTGTGTCTCAGAACATTTATATTAAAATAATGCTTGTCTTGCAGCAGGTGATCCCATAAAACAATACTTCCCTGTTCTTAAAAATTCACTCTCATTCTCACTAACAACATAGAACTGCTTTTGTGTTGGGATTATTCTGTATTGCATTCTTTTTCTATGTAGTGGCCACCTTCTGTTTGTCACAGTGGGTTGAATGTGAAGTAAATACATTGGTTCTCTGATACTTTAGAAGAAAAAGTACGTTACCTGATCCTTCCTCAAAAGGGTACCCACTGATGTCATAGAGGAAAAGTTACAAATCAGACCTGTGATGTGACTTTTTAAATTTGGTGTTTGGTTATGTCTGTAATTTGACCCTTTTACCAACACATTTTGATCTATATATGTTTGGAATTAAAGGACATAAAGCAACAGGAGAGGAAATTGGTAATGTTGGTAACTAATGTGCATACCTTGCCTACGGCCTAATAATCAGGACAAAGGCTGCAGCCTGGAGAGCAGGAAAGTGGTGTTTTTTTCTCTCATTTTTTGTTTTTCAATTTCTAACCCCCATTTCGAAGTCCTTGTGCCTCATTCAGATACTACGGACTTAGCATCAATAGTTCTCTTTCATAATCTCATTTCATTTTATAAATCCTGAGAAAATTACACATGTATTTCTTCTAGTTGGTACTTGAGCAAAGCAGATTCCTTTGCTTTTGCTGCCATGACTTACTTTCAGTGCCGTATGATGAACCAGTGGCATACATGAAAGTTGTGCGTTGTGATTTTCAAGAGAAGGTAGTTCATTAGGCCAGTGCACTGATCATTTTCCTAGTAGCTATTTACTGTAGTAAGAGAATAATAAAAGAAACCTCCCATACTAGAACTGAAATTTTCCAGTTATATGGACCTAGTTCATTCAGATTTCAAGTTGATGCTAAATATATAAAGCATATCCCAACTTTATATGCTGCCTTGAAAAAATTACAGGATGCATAGCAATTTGTAGGTATTTAAAATGGGATAATTCAGACATTTAAAAAAATTGTTTTAAAAATCATCTAGCTTGCTTTTGCATTTTAGGTGTTAAATCCCATGTTTTGTTAATGGGTGGAATTTATACAGATCAGATTCAGCATGTAATTTCAATTTGGAATCTGAGTATTTCTTCCCTAGCTTCTTCTGAAAAGACTGTCACCAGCATTGGTAACTAATTATTAAAGGGAAAAGTTGCATTGCAACTACGTATGTTTCCTGGAAGAACTTTTCTTGTGTTTTAGTGAATGAAGAGTGTTGATGGGATCACTTACTGTAACTCTTACATAGGGACCCCTTCTGCAAAGCAGAACACAAATGAATATGCTCAAGGAGTATCCCATTTTCTGCTTAGTGAATACATTAGCTAGTAACTCCTTTATACTAGCAGTTTCTTTGTATCTCTTTGCTGGCAAGGAAATACAAGGAGTCAAAGCCACAGACCAGAACATCCCATAATTTGAGTGTAGTCCTATTTTTACTCCAAGAGCAGTTACTCCCCCAAGTCTAAAATCGGCAGTTTTTTGTTTTTGTTTTTAATAAAAATTTTAAAATAGCCCCAAACCAGTGGAACACAGACACTGGCTGCACTTAGTACTGCCAAAAACCAAGGTCATTTGCACATATTCATCAACCTTTCAAGAATTAGTCCTCACTTTATAACCCAAGGCATGGAAGTGCATGCATTCTCTTAGCTGGGCAAACAATTATACTGTAGTTGTGATACAACACATGTGGCTTTTATTTGTACTGCACATATCCACTGTACAGCCACTTGGGAGTATCGTGGTTAGCTTGCAGCAACTGCTGTCTGCATTTATACTGTTTATTGCATATTCTTTTCCCTGGAAGTGAAAGAGAAATGTTTTTCTTGTTGCGTTGATTACATTTTATAAATTTGCTTAGCTGGAAAGTTTGGGAAAAGAGGCCTGTTTGTCAATTGTACAACCGATTGTGAAGCTCTAGTGTGAATATTTTTACGTCTGTATTAGACATTTTCTTTGCAAATCTATTGTTCGATTGAAATGTAAATGAAATTAAAGATGGTGTACACCCATCATGTAAAAAGCAGGCACCATCTCTAAGATGGATTTAATGCTCATTTTTAAGGCATATACTCAGCTTCTATTTAAAATTATAATTTAAAATAATTCTGTACAATGAAATGGAGAATATATGGGAATAAATTCTATTCCATTTATTTCAATTTGAATTTCCAAATTGTAATGTTTCCCTTTGTGCTATAGGAATAGGATTAAATGGGGAAAGGCTAGGAGTTATAAGGCTTGTATATGGGGGGAGGGCAGAGATGGAACAATGAGGGTTGTGATGATAGTGAATAGCAAAGAGTGAATTCTGTTGTGTTTTTGTTGTAGCACTGAAGTGACGAGATACTAGCTTTGGCTGTTCACAGAATAGAGCATCATGATTTTCAGTGTTTGAGAGAAAATTGATGGAAAAAGTTTGCAGTACTTGACATGTATTTGCATGCACAAAATAAAATTATTTGTCCACCTTAAAAGTTTTTGTTTAGTATCAATATTAAATTTATGGCATATTTTAGTTATCTTGATTTCTTTGGTATCTTTTTGGGTATAACGAAGCTACCAGGACACTCCTTAGACTGGAATTTAAATAATCTCCTGCTTCATCCACATATCATTGGGAAGGATCTGAAAGAAATGAATAGATCCAGAGAATTTGAAATACTCCTTCATTCTGTCAGTCACTTCACTCCCTCAGTATAGAGCACTTTCTGCGTGGGAGATGAGGACATAGATAATACTAGCAGTTCACAGTCTAGTGGAGTAAATAGGACAAATACATACATAACTAATGCAAAGCAATGTAGAGGAAATACGGAGATAGTTCTGTGGGAGCTCAGAATATGAAAAGAGAATAGCGTGAGTGCATCTGGACGTCATTTTCACTGGGCCTTGAGTAGGTTTGTTTATTCACTCAGCTGAGACATTTTAAGCCCTTATCTGTGCCGGACATTTAAGGTTAAACGTCAATGAAACATGAACCTTTTTCTCTAGAAACTCAGTGTAAAAATGAGAAAGACTAATTTGAATAACCAGCCTCAGTGAGCTGTGTTCTAATGCAGGATATATGGAAATTTCAAAGCAAAATTATGGGGCAGGTGAAAGTGGCAGTGAGCCAGAGGAGGTACTTCTTAATAGAAGTGACCGCTGACTAGACTTTGTAGGCGGAATAAGATTTCACCCAGCAGCGTTACAGGGAGGAAACACAGCCTGAGTAACTCCTCTACCATCACAATAACCCATTCTGTATGTTAACGACATCTTTTACTGCAGATATACACCCTCTCCTCATTTATCAACAGGGTTAGGTTCCAAAGACCAGGTCATTATGCAGAAATATAGGATGACTACATCATTACATAATTGCCAAATTACATCATTCCATAAGTGTCAAACTACTGAGAATTATGGCCTAGCCAAGTTGACACACAGCCTTAACCGTCACAGCCAGCATTACTCTAGCCTCGCACCTCAGCGTTGGTTACTGCCAGAAGTATGTCATTAATGTGTGAAATAGTTGAATAGTAGATTTTTTACTATTGTCATAAATATGAAGTGTTGAATAGATAGTAAATAAGTGAGGAGAAGGTGTAGTGGTTTCCTGTTGTATATATTAGGTGTTAGTTTGTCCAAGGCATATAACTAGAAAGTAGGGTCAGAATTCTGATTCAGGTCTGCTCTCTGCATCTCACAATGAGGTGGTGGTGGTGGTGGTGGTGGTTGGAACCTATTTTAGCCATAAGTGTTACAGTGGAAGGGATGTTTAAGGTGTTTAGGTGATTCACCAAGTAATATATAAATAGCCATCTTTTACAGCACGTACTGTCTTCTGGGCACAGTCAAAACTGCTACAGATACATCATGAACTAGGTAGTCTTATTACCACCATTTTACATATAAGAAAACTGAAAAACCTCAGAGAATTTGCCCAAGGTCATGTACTGGGGACTCTTGGAAGTTAGATGATCTTAACAGTTTGAGGGTTTAGAAAAATCACTTTGATAGTAGTGTGAAAGGTGAAGCTAGAGATAGACTAACCAAGAGGCCAGGCCATCAGTCCAGGTGAGAAGTGTTGGGGTGTTGGGAGCATGGCCAAGCAGTGATGGAGGGAAAGAAATGGATTTGAAAAGTAAGAGAGCCATTGACAGGATTTGTTGCTACTTGCATGTAGGGAGTACATTAGACATTTACACATTATAATGGATTAAATTAGGCTTAGAATCCCAGACACCATTGTTGAGACATACTTGTGAAACATATAATCTTGTATAAGCCCTGGAGTAAGTGTCTATTAAGATTCGGAAGGAGGAAGAGAAGAAAGAACCATGGATAGCTGATCCAGAAAAAGGAGAGGAAATTTAATGAAGGCTGCAAAATGCCAGGAAGATTTTATTTCCTTTATAGTTAATATCTATTGAAGTAATTATCATGCACTTTAACAAAGGCTGAGATTTTTTATAATTGAAAACATCATAGTGCCGGTAGTTTATAAATTTAGACACATTACAGTCACTTAGGAATCTTTTGAAAATTCCAAAGCCTAGGTCACCTCCTTGACCGATCAGATCACAATGTCTAGGGGTGGAACCACAGCATCAGTACCTTTGAAGCTTCCCAGGTGCTTCCAGTGTGCAGAAAAATTTGGGAACTGCGGCCATATAATGAATGAAAATAAGTTTGAGACCTGTCTTAGCTTAAAAACCAAAACCAAACCCATTGCCGTCGAGTCGATTCTGACTCAGCGACCCTATAGGACAGTAGAACTGCCCCATGGGGTTTCCAAGGAGCGCCTGGTGGATTCAAACTGCAGAACTTTTGGTTAGCAGCTGAACTCTTAACCAATACACTGCCAGGGTTTCCTGTCTTAGGTGCATCAAAAAAACATCTATCCTCAAACGTTCAGGATTTTAGGTTTTCAGAGACTCATTCAACAAATATTTTGAGAACCTATCATATGGCTATTATATTAGGTCCCTGCATGGCATGGTTCGTACTGAACTACTAACCTCAAGGTTGGCAGTTTGAACCTACTGAGCAGCTCTGAGGAAGAAAGGCCTGGTGATCTGCTTCCGTAAAGATTACAGCTGATAAAACCCTTTGGAGCAGTTCTATTCTAATTCATGGAGTCGGCGTGGTTTGGAATTGACTCAACAGCAGCGGGTTTGGATTTTGGAGCCCTGGTGGCAAAGTGGTTAAGAGTTTGGCTGTTAACCAAAAGGTCAGCAGTTTGAATCCACCAGGCGTTCCTTGGAAACCCTATGGGGTAGTTCTACTCTGTCCTGTTGGGTCGCTATGAGTTGAAATCTACTTGACGGCAATGGATTTGGTTTTCTGGTTTTTTATATATGCCAGGTATTAGGGATATAGAGTAGAGGAGTTAACTAGTCCCTAATTTCATGAAACTTACATTACAGTTGGAAGGGCAAACGAAGTAAATAAAAGGTGAATTTAGATAATGAGGAATAATAAAACCAGAATGAAGATAACACACCAGGTGATGAGATTGTGTTATGTGGAGGTTGGTAGTTCTCAGCACTGTGCAGTTTTAGATAGGTCATCCTGCTGAACATCTATCTGGATCTCTAATAGACATCTCAAACTTAACATGTCCAAATCTAAGTTTCTAGTATTCACCCAATTCCTCCACCTACACTCCGTTAGCCTTCCCCATCTCACTTCCCTTTGACAACTCTTACTCATACATAGACCATCAGCAAATCCTGTCAGTGCTATCTTCAAAATCTATTCAGGTTATGATGTCAGTACTACCCGATGCAGTTTACAGATTGAATGCAGCTTCCTTTCAAATTTCCAACAGCTTTTTGCAGAAATGGAAAAGCTTATCCTCAAATTTGTATGGAATTGCAAGGAGCTCCAATTAGCCAAAACAGTCTTGAAAATGAAGAACAAAGTAGGACATGTAAACCAATTTCAAACTGTACTATAAAGCTAATCAAAACAGTTCAGTACTATTATAAGTATATATATATAGACTAGTGGAATAGACTTGAGAGTCCAGAAATAAACCCATACATCTATGGCCAGTTGATTTTTGACAAGGTTACCAAGTCCATTCAATGAGGAAAGAAGAGTCTCTTCAACAAATGGTGCTGGGACATCTGGATCTCAACATGTAAAAGAATGAAGTTGGACCCATACCTCACACCATATATGAAAATTAAAATGGATCAATGACCTATATAAGAGCTACAACCACAAAACTTCCAGCAAAAATATAGGATAAAACTTCAGGACCTTGTTTTTGACAATGGATTCTTAGACATGACACCAAAAGCGTGAGCAACAAGACAAGACTGAAAATCGGACTTCATCAAAATTAAAAATCTTTGTACATCAGAGGGTTTTATGAAGAAGGTGAAGAGACAACCTACAGAATAGGAGAAAATATGTGATAACCATATATCTGATAAGATTTTAATATCCAGTACATACAAAGAACTTCTATACCTCAACAGCAAAAAGAAACTAATAGATAAAGGAATTGAATAGACATTTCTCCAAAGAAGATATACAAATGGCAAATAAGTGCATGAAAAGATATTCAGTGTCATCAGTTGTTGTTAGTTGACATCGAGACACGAACCAAGTCGTGGCAACTCTGTGTACAACAGAGCAAAATGTTGCCCAGACCTGAACTGACAATCTTTGATATGTTCAAGACCATTGTGGCCACTCTGTATTTTGAGTGCCTTCCAACCTAGATGCTCATCTTCCAGCACTGTATCCGACAGTATTTTGTTTTGATCCATAGGGTTTTCATTGGCTAATTTTTGGAAGTAGATCACCAGGCCTTCTTCCTAGTCTGTCTTAGTCTGGAAGGTCTGCTGAAACCTGTCCACCATGAGTGACCCTGCTGGTATTTGAAATACTGGTGGCATAGCTTCCAGCATCATAGCAATACACAAGCCACCACAGTACAACAAACTGATAGATGAGTGGTGGCATCAGTCATTAGGGAGAGGCAAATCAAAACCACAATGAGATACCACTTCACATCCATTAAGATGGCTATTATCAGAATAATGAAAAATAAGTGTTGGCGAGGATGTGGAGAAATTGGAACACTTGTGCGTTGCTGGTGGGAATGTAAAATGGTTCAGCCACTGTGAAGACAGCTTGGCAGTTTCTCAAAAAATTAAACAATTACCATATGATCCAGCAATCCCAAGTATATATCTAAAAGACTTGAAAGCAGGGACTCAAAGAGATATGTTCATTGCAGCTTTATTTACTAAATGACTAATTTCTTTTAGAAGGATCAGTATAAAGCTGGTGCCTATGAGGCAGAAGTTAAAGATGTCCCAAATGTTCAACTTTTCCAAACTGCTGTACGACTCCATTATCTCTAACATCAATTACCCCTCCTCCCATCAGTACTCTCACTTCTGTCTTTGGGTTCCGTAATTCCCTGCAATGTCTCACAGAACTCACAAACCATCAAGGCAATGGTTCACACGGTTGTGGAGGCTAGCAAATCCCAAATCCGTGGGTCAGGCTGGAGGCTTCTTCTGACTCATGTGGTTGCAGAGGCTGACAAACCCAAATCCACAGGGCATACAACAGGCTGCTGGCTCACAAGGCTGTGGAATCTGGCAAATCAGGTCAGATGATAGAGTGGTGGCTCAAGTTCCAAGAACTGAAGTCAGACAATGACAGGCCAGGTGCAAGATCCAGAGCAAGAGAGGGAGCCTTGCCAGAGCATTCGTATATATATTGGATGCAGACCATACCCTCAAGGAAATTCCCCTTACTTGAGCAAGGCAGTGCAAGGATGTGACGTGAATAAAGGTGGTAAGAGTAGTGACTGGGGTAAGGGTGGTGACTTGAGTCACACCCTCTAGTAAGGTGAAAAAAAAAACAAAACCTCCTTGTCGTGGAGTCAATTCCAACTCATAGTGACCCTATAGGACAGAGTAGAACTGCCCCATAGGGTTTCCAAGGAGTGGCTGGTGAATTTGAACTGCCAGCCTTTTGGTTAGCAGCCAGACTCTTAACCACTGCGCCACCAGGGCTCCAGATACATCCACCCTAATCCTGCCTCATTAACATAACAGACAACTCACTCCCAAATGGGACTATAACCACAGGCATAGAGGCTAGGATTTACAACACATCACAACATGGAGGATAATCACATCAAACCACAAAATGGAGGATGACTACACCATTACATAACTGCCATATTACATTATTACATAACTGCCGAACCACTGAAAATTGTGGCCCAACCAAGTTGACACATAACCTCAACCATCACAGGTTCCATACACCTTATTTGTATTAGCAGCGAACTGTCCAGTCCCCTTAGTGGGCCACAAGCACCCCATTTGGACAGTACCACCCAATCATTGTGTAGGAGTCACAAAGACTATGGCTACAGGGCCATATTAAGTAATTCATTGCACCACGTTTACAATGGCCAAAAAGTGGAAACAACCCAAATGTCCATCAACTGATGAATGGATAAACAAAATGTGGTATATACATACAGTGGAATATTATTCAGGCATAAAAAGAAATGAAGTTCTGATACGTGTTACAACATGAATGAGCCTTGAAAACATTATGCTAAGTGAAATAAGCCAGACACAAAAACACAAACAATCCCACTAATATGAAATCTAGAGTAGGCAAATCCATAGAGACAGAAAGTAGATTAGTGGTTACCAGGGGCTGGGGAGAGGGGAAAGTGGGGAATTATTGCTGAAGGGGTACTGAGTTTGTGCTTGGGGTAATGGAAACCTTTTGGAAATAGTGATGATGGTTGCCCAAGATTGTGAATGTAGTTAATGCTACTGAAGTGTACACTTAAGAATGATTAAAATGGCAACTGTTACGTATTTTATTATAGTAAAATTTAAAGCATTCATTGAGCTTTTAATTACCAAATATTTATGGGGATCTCTTCTATGCACAAGGAGCCCTAGAGGTGCAATGGTGAAGAGTTCCGCTGCTAACCAAAAGGTCAGCTGTTGGAACCCACCAGCCGCTTGGTGGTAGAAAGATGTGGCAGGCTGCTCTGGTAAAGATTTCAGCCTAGGACACCCTATGGGGCAGTTCCACTCTGTCCTATAGGGTCGGAATCTACTCAAAGGCATACAGCAACAACTGTGCACAGTCACTGTTGCTGGATGCTAGCTTTGTCACTTAAAGCAGATCATAAGTTGTATATTCAAGTCTGCTGTACATACAATGCCAGTTAAGATTATTCACTCTGCAAACAAAAATACAAAAAGTCACCATAGGATCTCTTTAAATGAATTACTCTTAAATTTGGGGGGATTTCTGACCCCTTTAATAACCTCAACAAACAGCCTCTCAAAAACATATGCACATACACAAATTTGCGGACAATTTCAGGTGTTTCTAGAACTACAAATTGGGAGCCCTGTTTTAAACACTGTATCATTCTAGTATATTTTAAATGATTCAGTTTGCACAAATCTATGAGCTACTTCACAGTTGTGTATTGGACACCTCAATAATTGCTGAGTGGTTAGACCTTTTGTCATGGATTGAATTGTGTCCCCCCAAAAATGTGTGTATCAATTTGGCTAGGCCGTGATTCCCAGTGTTGTGTGGTTGTTCTCCATTTTGTGATTGTAATTTTACATTAAAGAGGATTAGGATGGGATTGTAACACCACCCTAACCTAGGTCACATCCCTGATCCAATAAAAAAAGGAGTTTCCTTGGGGTGTGGCCTGCACTACCTTTTATCTCTTAAGAGATAAAAGGAAAGGGAAGCAAGTGGAGAGAGGGGGACCTCACACCACCAAGAAAGAAGCACCAGGAGCAGAGCACATCCTCTGGACCTGAGGTTCCTGCGCAGAGAAGCTTCTAGTCCGGGGGAAGACAGATGATGATGACCTTCCTCCAGAGCCGACAGAGATGAGATAGAAAGCCTTCCCCTGGAGCTGACGCCCTGAATTTGGACTTCTAGCTTACTAGACTGTGAGGAAATAAATTTCTCTTTCTGAAAGCCATCCACTTGTGGTAGTTCTGTTAGAATAGCACAAAATGACTAAGACACCTTTTAAAAAATATTTTAATGTGAAATTTCAGGTTTACAAAATAGTTCCAAAAAGTGTAGTTCCTCTACACTCGTCACTCAGAATCTTCAAAGGTTAACATCTATAACCGTAGTACGATCATTGAAGCTATTGGTATAATACTATTAATATTAGTTAGTAGACATTATGCAAATTTCGCGAATTGCCCCACTCATGTTGTTTTTCTGTTCCAGGATCCAATCCAGGGTTCCACATTGCGTTTAGGTATCGTGGATCCGGGTTTTTTTGTTTGTTTGTTTTTTATAAATCCACGCCCTGTATTATGTGTTCCTGGGAAAGTTACTCAAAATCTGTATATGTTCCGTCTTAGATGTAAGTGAGCCTTGGTGGTCCAGTGGTTAAAGCAGCTCAGCTGCTCACCAGAAGGTCGGCAGTTGTAACCCACCAGTCGGTTGCGGGAGAAAGATGTGACAGTCCTTTTAGGGTTGCAATGAGTTGGAATCCACTCCATGGCTGTGAGTTTGGTTTGGTTAGATGTGATGTAAAGAAGAACCAATGGAAAACACATATGTAAAGGCCTTAGAAACTTAAAAGGGAAGTAAATAAAATTTTCTTATTGCTCAAAACTGGACATATAAAGCGCAGCTCTTAAAAAAATAACGCGCAGCTCTTCAGTTACCAAAAACAAACAAAGCAAATAGAAGCGTACTAATATTATAGAGGTGTTTTGTCCTAAAGTAGGACTGGTAGTTTCTCCTTCGGCCACCGGGAGAACCTTCTTCTAATTGGGCAGCGTGTGTCCGCCATGACGCCGGAAGGCTGCCTCATTGGTCCGCGCAGTCGGGACTCCAGCGGCTATTCTCTTAGTGCTTAAGGCGCCGACCCACTTCTCTTTCTCTAACCGCTGCCTCGTTGCTTCCGGGGCCCGGAGCTGCCAGCACGAAGGGATCCGGACTGAACTAGGCTGGGTAACCGTATTGAGATCAGCCTGGAAGAAGCGGCGGACATGTAGTGCGGGAAGGAGGGTTGTTAGCTGGCCTGGGAATAATGGCCTTGTCTGCGCGTTCCCTTGTTCCCCAAGCTCCGCGATTTCCCTGCCCGCGTTCTATCCTGGCCCCACCCCTACTGCACTCCCCTCAAGTCCCTGCGGGCCCCGCCCTCACCGGGAGCCCCTCGGCGGCCCCGCCTCCTTTGGCTGCCACCCAGTTCGCCACGCCCTCACCTCGCGCCCTCCGCGGGCCCGTGGGCTGGTTCCGTCCTCTCTCCCTGCGCTCCGCGGTTGTCCCTACTCTTAGTGCCTCTCTCTCAGCGGCCCCACCCTTACCGAGCGTCCCTAACCCAGTCTCTACTCGCTCAAGGTGCGTCCCTTTGGCCCATCCCTGGCCCCTCCACCTCCCCGACCTGAGATTTGGTTCTGTCCCCGGATTCCCCCATCGGCCCAGGCTATCTTTATATGGGTTTAACAGATTGTGCAGAGGCTTGGTACTGTGCCTTGCAGATAGAGGTTAGCTGTAGGAGGTCTATGCTTTCAAGCGTTCCCTGCCCCATGGGGGAGAGTCAGTTTGTAATGGAGATGACAAGTCCAAGTGATAAGTCTTTAATGAAGGCAGTACAGTGTTGGGGTGCTTCAAAGAGGGAGTACTAGAGATTTTTTTTCCCATCCCTGCTGGATTCGCAGGCAGATCTCTGAGAGATTAAGTTGCACCTTCCAAAATGTCCCCGGCTTCTTCCGGTGCAGAAGCCAGGTCTACCCTTTGATCCTTTAAACATCTGGGAGTTATTGAAGTCTTGTCATAGGTCCTTATTAACCAGTCACAGTTGACAGGGCTTTAGAGACAATCTACCCAACCACTCAGTGCGCTGACTGGGAGGGTGAAGCGAAGAGACAGAGGTGTGATTGACTTAGGCACACAGTAACTCAGCATCATACTCTCGATGCTTCTTTTTGGAGTTTTTCTGAGGATTTTTACCAAATTTTTCAATTACCCAGAAGTCTTAGTTGACAGGAAAATCTAAAAGTAAGTGTAGATAAAATCTCCAGTCGGTAAAGTAGATTCTTCCAAGACAATGTGCTAGCTAGTACATATGTCCGTTATTCAGAAGATAGCAACTCACACCTTCACTCCTGGAGTCAGGTAGCCTTGGGGTCTGATCCCAGCTCCACCATTTGCTGTTGAGCTTTGCAAAGAAACTTCCCATATCTGAGCCTTAGTTTTACCTTCTATTAAAAGAGCCTGGTAAGCCCTGTTTCTCAGAGTCATGGAAGGAATTCATTGAGATCCTGCTTATGAGAAAAATCACGTAGGATCCTGTAAATAAAATCTTAGCACAAGTGAGCCCCCTACCTTCAGCTTCATGTTTGTCAGCTCAGGCCAACAGAGAGCCTGATATATTGCCCTCTTCCAGGCACGATGACTACTCTGGATGATAAATTGCTGGGGGAAAAGCTGCAGTACTACTACAGCAGCAGTGAGGATGAGGACAGCGACTGTGAGGACAAGGACAGAGGCAGGGGTGCCCTCGCCGGCAGTTTGCCTGCAGAAGCCGAGCTGGCCGGCGAAGGCATCTCAGTTAATACAGGTACTGCGTAACTCTGAGCTCTGGGAACAGGCTTTAAAAATGTCCATTACATAACAGATAAATCAGAAGTTTCCTGATCACCTCTTTTTTCTAATTCTAGTCCTACTTCAGAGATAGCCTAGTGTTATCATTTCATTGTGCCATGTTTCTAGCCTTTTTACTGCACAGTATGAATGTGTATGCATGGTATCATGATTTCAAACGCATACTGGCCTGGGTTTGAATCCTCCTCATAATACTACTTGTTTGATATTGCATAAATTACAGGTATGAGTATATTGGTAGTACAAATTGTTTGAAATGGCATTTTTACTTCTTAATATTGCCAAATTGCTGTCAGTTAAAGTGGCAATATGCTTTTCCCCTATGCCATGCCCTCATAGTGTATTATCAAACTTTTTGATCTTTGTCATCTTGTTTTTTAAGAGCGAGCTTGAACTAAGTTTAAGAGATGTTTTTGTACCCTTTTTTTTTTTTTTTTTTGCCCATATTTTAAATTGGGTGGTTGGTCTTTTTCTTCTTGGGGAACTCTGTATACTTAGGAAATTAATCTGTGATGAGTTGTAAATGTTTCATTTTGTTTGTCTTTTGACTTTATGTTCTTCCCCTGGCAGGAAATTTTTATTTTTATGTACTTGAAAATATTATTTTATAGTTGTAGTGTTTTTTCTTTCTTAAAAGAACTTTCTTCACTCCAAGATTCTAAAAAGATTCTTCCATGTTTTTACTTAGTGCTTTTATGATTTCATTTTTGTAACATTTTAATATTTGATTCATTTGGAATTCATTTCGATGCCAGTTTTGAGGTAAGGGTCCAACTTATTTTCATTTTGCTACCCAGCTGTTTCAGCACTGTTTATTGACTAATCAGTCTTTCCTCTATTGTTTTGAAATGTCAGTTTTATCATGCACTGAAGTTTTGTTTATATTTGGGTCTTTAGCTGTATTTTGTAGTAATGTGTCTATTACTGGGTTATACCACTCTGTTTTTAATTATTGTAGTGTTATTTTTTTTATCTGCGAGAGCTGGTTTCGCTTTAATACTTTCTGTGTCAGCATTTTCCTAACTTTTGCTCTCATTTTTTCAAAGCAAATTAAAAATATATCCATGTATTTTTATTGGGAATTTATTAAATATGTAGATTAATTTTGTGATAAACTACACTTTGTAATGTTGGGTCTCCTTGTTCAAGATCATGGTATTGCTTTTTCATTTATTCAAATCCTTGTTAGTGTTTCTTGGTAGCATTTTAACTTTTTATTCATACAGATTTTTATGTTAGTTTTTCTGTGGTATAAATGACCCCCAAATCAGTGGCTCACGGCAACAAAGCCATATTTTTAATTCATGTTAGATGCTGGCTGTGGGTTAGTGGTGGCTCCGCTTCTGCTTCATATGTCCTGTCATTCCAGGAGCTTGGCTGAAGGAACAGCCACTGTTGGGACATACCATTTTCAGGGCAAAGCATAGAGAGCAAGAGTGGGCTGTTGGAAACACGTAGTAGTTTATAAAGCTTTTGCTAGACCAGGCATCCATCATGTTTGCTCACATTCTATTGGCCAAAGCAAGTCACATGGGCAAGCTTAATGTCAGTGAGTGGGGACATATGTACTCACCCTGTAGTAGGTACTGCAAGTCACATGGCAGGGGGCCAGGATGGAGGTAGGGGCAGGGATTGAGGTAGGGGCATGAATAACTGAGAACAATAATAAAACCTGCCATAATCTTGTTATAACAAATTTAAATAATACAGAAGTGTAGAAAGTAAAAAGGGAATGTTCTCTTACCAGTTTCTCTGGATCCTACTACCTAGAGTCAGCCACTGTCAACAGTTTATGTATCTTTCTAGCCCGTTTTTATGAACGTACTTATTCACATATATGTATATGCATAGTCATATATGTAAATATTCATATATATACATAGTTCTTTTATAAAAATCTAATGTGCATTTTGCTTTTCTTTTTTATTTTAACTAATAAGACTTTTAACATCAGGAAATACAGAGCCGCTTCGTTCTTTCTAAGAGTTGCTTTATATTCTTTTGAGTAGATGAACCATAATTTATTTAGTTGTCTCTTCATGTTGGACACTAGCTTGGGCCTTTAATTATTGCCAGCAGTGCTGCAGTGGACATCACTGTGTGTAGACCACTTTACCCTTGTATAAGCATTGTTGTGCAGTAGATAGAGAAAACTTTCGACAGCTGTGAACTCCTAGTCGTGGTCCATAATTCCTTACCATTCCTCTTGGTCACCTCCATGTTCACTTCCACTTAGGTCCAAAAGGTGTGATCAATGACTGGCGCCGTTTCAAGCAATTGGAGACAGAGCAAAAGGAAGAGCAGTGCCGGGAGATGGAAAGGCTGATCAAGAAGCTGTCAGTGACCTGTAGGTCCCATCTGGATGAAGAGGAGGAGCAACAGAAACAGAAGGACCTCCAGGAGAAGATTAGTGGGAAGGTAATTAGTAGCACCCAGGCTTTGGCTGTGGGAACTGGGGTTAGCAATTCAAAAGGTAGAGGATGTTTGATTTGTCCTCTGAGAAGTTGTAAAGTGCAGGCTAAAATATAGAGTCACGCCATAACTCAGACACACCTGAGTTTAAATCTCAGCCTTGCCACTAGTGACCTTGGGAAAATCACTTTTGTTTTGAATTTTCCTTGGTTAAATGAGGTCAATATTCCTACCTTATAGGGCTGTGTGTGTTAAATGCCTGAGACAGAGCCTGGCTCATTGCAGTGCTCAGTAAATATTAGTTTCCTGTACTTTATTGAGGACTTATTTGGGGCCATAAACTTAATATAATTCTCTGAGAGTGGTGGTATTATCCCCATTTTACAGATGAGCAAACTAATACTTAGAGCGGGAGGTGACTTGCTCAGGGTCACATAAGTACTAAATGGGATTCTAACCCAGATATTTCTGTTGCTCCATTTCGCCTGAAGCCTGTTCATGAGAATTTCTTTTAAGGAGGCAATACCTAGAAGCAAATGGATACTCTGAAAGATATTTGTAACTAGGTCCCCTGACTCCCTTCTTACCTTCCCTATATTAAAAGGAACCTCTATTTCCCTTATCCCCTCTGACCCATGGGTGAATGTCTAGGAATGCCTGAGATCATTTAGTTAGGGCCCAGAGCAGCCTTTGGCTGAAAATACCAGTCAGGATTAAGTAAGGAGTCATTAGCCTTGACCAGGAGAGTGATTTCAGGGTATTAGACTTAAGTAAAGACTGTCATAGGTCAGAAAGAGCCACTCTGGTAGGCAGCAGTAAAATGAAGAGCTATGAGATTGGAAGGAAATTGGAAATGATAAGTAAAACAGTAAACTCAGAATGGTGCTGGTTATAATACAGTAACAATAGTTTTTCTGTTTTAGTCTCCCCACCTCCCCACTCCCTTCCCCCACAATCTGTCTTGCTGTACCAAGGTAGGAGAAGGAAGAAGCTTTTGTTACTTTAGCTACATGCAGGGCAGTGTGCCCAGTGCCAGCAGCTGCTTCCTTAAACTGAGGTGAAAGGTCAGAATGAAGCAACACATCACATGGGTCAGTGTTGAGAGAGGCTGTCCCTGTCTGCTGAGTTACCTGCAGTACAAGTGAACTGGAAACTGCCTGAATGCTAGAAGTAGGGGAATGATTACTCAAAGTATGGCCTGTTATATATAATTTCATAAAAATAATTGAGAACATGAGGAAATATTTATGATATAATAATGATAAGTAGCAGAAGCAAGTTACAGCTTAATTGGCATACCCATGACTCTGCTATAAAAGCAAAACTGTATGTGACTGGTGGTAAATCAAAAAGAAAAATTTTTTGAGTGCCTGTGTTTTGTGTTTGTGTGGGGGTGGGTTACAGGGCAGGGCTTATGAGTGTTTTTTTGTTTTTTTTTTGTCTTTAAGTCATAGTGTCTTGTAGGCAGAAAGTAGACGGATTGTGTTTTTTTATCCATTCTGCCACATCTGTGTCTTTATTGGTGCATTTAGTCCATTTACATTCAGTGTAATTATTGATAGGTACGAGTTTAGTGCTGTCATTTTGATGTCTTCTTTTGTGTGTTGTTGACAGTTTCTTTGTTCCACCAAATTTGCTGTGCTGAGTTGTTTTCTTTGTGTATTTTCTTTTCATCTTTTTCATTGTTATTGATTTTGTATTTGCTGAGTCATTATATTTTTCTTGTTTTTTATTTTGATGTGTAGGATTGTTAGTTTCCTTTGTGGTTACCTTAATATTTACCCCTATTTTTCTAAGTTTAAACCAATCTTTTATTTCTTTATATCACCTTGACTTCCTCTCCATATGAAAGATCTATAACTACATTCTTTTAGTCCCTCTTGTTCGTTTTAATGTCATCTTTTACATATTGATGTCTCCGTTTCCCTATTTACAGAGTTTTAGCTTGATTTATTTTTGTGACTTCCTTATCTGGGTTTATATCTGCTTTCTCTGTCCTGTTTTCTAGTCTTAGGTTCTTATCTGATGTTATGGATTTTCTAACCAAAGGACTCCCTTTAGTATTTCTTGTAATTTTGGTTTGGTTTTTGCAAATTCCCTAAACTTCTGTTTATCTGGAAATGCCCTAATTTCGCCATCGTA